TAGAAAGTATAAAATTTACATATTAATTTATATAAAAATAATTTACAAGTGAATAAAGTAAGTTACATGTTATATAAATATATTATTTAATTTAATTAAACCCCTTAAAAGTTAAATAAATATATTATAAAAATATCGAATAAATCAATTATTTAAATGATTTTATGAATGTCACTTGTTATTCATATGTTATCAAATGTAATATAATAAAAGAATTTATTAGGTAATCTTAGATTTTGTGAATCAAATTAAAAATCTTACATTCCCATATGCTAAATCAAATGTCAAAATTTTCATTACCCTAAATATGTCAAGTAAAGTGATTTGGGAAATTACTTTCCCACAGAAATCTTCAATGTCGTAAAGCAAACACACCCTAATAATATTCTTTTAATGATAACGTTAAATAATTTATATTAAAGAAAGTAAAAACTCAATAATAAAATGTCCAAAATTGTGTTTAAAATAAATAAATCTCATTAAATTTGGTAAATAAATTAAATAATAATAAAATTAATTTCCATGATGATTTGACTAAAATACTAAAAGAGTTTTTGAATTTTATTATTTTAGTTAAATAAATCTTTATACTTTTATTATACCCAAATAAACTTTTATTCTTTGATTTTTATCCCAGTAAGCCCTTATTTTAAATAAAAATTTAATTTATGTTAAGAGTATATTTAGGGAAAAATTAAAAATTAAGAGTTTATTCGGATACAAATTAAAGTTTAAGAGTTATTTGAGTGTAAAGTAAAGGTTAAGAACTTATTTGAATACAATAAAAATATAAAATTTTATTTAAATAAAATGATAAAATTTATGAATTTGTTATTATTTTAACCACATGACTACCTATATTTGAAATCCTCGAAAAGAAACATAAAATGAATATATTGATTTCAGCTATTTCTTTTTGGGTAAACTAATGAATATGCCCTATGGTTTGAGGTAGAATAAATTTACCCCATGATATTTAAAAAGTGACACTTAATCACTTTGTAATTTTCTCCATTAGTATCCAATTTAATACCGTTAACTCTATTTTCTCTTTGTTTCCCATGTGGTTTATTTTTTTTATTTTTATATTTTTTTTGTTTTCTTGTTTCCAAAAAACATTTTTTGCCTATTCTTTCTTCATCTCCATCACAACGTATGCTCTTTGTCTCTTTATCTCCATTTAAACCTCTACTCTTTCCCTCTCTATCTTCATATAAAATCTCTGCAATTTTTTCAACTATTTTGAAGATCTCCCAAGTATGGTGAATTGGTAAAAGTTATACTCCATTCTCATTTTTTGTTTAATCTCCATTTGCACACTTTTTTTTTTATTTTCTCCCTTTGTAATTTTTGATTTGGTTTTTCCATCATGATTTTTTATTTGGTTTCACTATCACACACATCATGAATATTGGTTTGCCTATCAATATTCACTATTTGGTGTTTAATTTTGGGATTTGCTAAAGAAAACATGGGTTTGAATTTGATCAAGAGTGACTTTTGATTTTTTTGAGATGTTTAAAAGTTTTCAATTAATGGAATTCATGTGTTTTAGTGTGTGTTTCAAGCTTTAGATTTTGGGTTAGTATGTGTAATATTTTGTTAGAAATCTAAGAAAAAATTGGGTTCAAAATTAAGAATTTGGTTTCAAGTCAAATAAAAATTTTTATTTCTCTAAACTTTTCAATACATAAAAAATGGAAAAATAACAAAAGAAAAAGAAAAAAAATCAAGAGAGAAAATTGAGGTAGTTGTAATTGCCATTGCATTTAGCATCAAAGCTTTCTTTTAAGTGATAGATAATTAACTTTATGGCTATGTTTGTTTTACGAAAAATGACTTCCGAAAAATGATTTATGAAAAATGTTTACATTTTCTTAATTGAAAGAGATTTTTTATTATTTAGATAAGTTAATGAAAAGTGTTTTGTTTGGTTGTATTTAAAAAATTTTTTTTTTCAAATAATATTAAATAAATATTAAAATGTAAAAAATATTTATTATTAAAGTATATTGAAATTATTTATTATTAAAATTATTAATATTAAAAAAATTATATTTTAATAATAATATTTAATATTAAAATATTATGTTAATATAAAAATATTTAAAATAAAACTATTTATTACTCTTTATATTATTTATTAATATATTATATTAATAGCATAGTATTTATTAATAATTTATTTTTTATTAATATATTATTTATTAATGTAATATTATTTATAAGTAAAATTATGCTAAAAAACATTAATAAATAGTTTTACTTATAGATAGCTCTTTTCTAGAAAATATCTTGCCCTTTTCACATTAGTAAAATAATTTTTAAAAAAATGACATTATTTTTTGTTGACCAATAAGTTATTTTTTATTGATTAACCAGTTTTCTACCAAACAAATACCTAAAAATGCAAAAATTATTTTTCAAAATTTATTTTCCACAAAAAAAAAAAAAAAACAGAGCCTACATTCATACCCATTTTTAAAATAATAAAAACTATTAAAAACTTGTATTTGGAATATGCTGAATTTAAAAAAAAAAATAAAAAGCTTTAGCTTTGGAAAGATTTTTACATAAGTTCTTAAAGATTAAAGATGAATAGAGTTTCTTGATTTCAGAGATAAAAAAGAAACCAAAGCTTATTTAAAATGGTGATTAAATTTTGGAAAGTAATAATAAAAGTTATGATCTTGTAAAAAACAAGAAAAACAAATCTTAAATTAGTTAAATGTCAAGAAGTCAAAGCTTATTTGAAAATGGTGATTAAATTTTGGAAAGTAGCGATAAAAGTTACAATTGATAAAAGTTACAATCTTGAAAAAAAAAAATAGAATAAATCTCAAACTAGTTTAAGAAGTCAAAGTTTATTTGGAAACGATGATTAAATTTTAGAAAGTAACGATAAAAATTACGATCTTGAAAAAAAAATCTCAAACTAGTTAATTGTCATTTTTAAAACATTAGGGTGCAAATTTATTTCGGTCCAAACCACATAGTATATTTATGTAGTAAAAGTTACGATCTTGAAAAAATATAAGATAAATTTCAAACTAATTAAATGTCAATAAGCCAAAGCTTATTTGGAAATGGTTATTAAATTTTGGAAAATAATGATAAAAATTACGATCTTGAAAAAAAATTAAAACATATCTCAAACTAATTAAGTGTTAAGAAGCCAAAGCTTATTTGGAAATGGTGATTAAATTTTAGAAAATTACAATAAAAGTTACGATCTTGAAAAAAAAAAACAAATCTCAAACTAGTTAAGTGTCATTTTTAAAACATCAAGGCACAAATTTATCTTGGCTTAAACCACATAATATATTTATGTAATAAAAGTTATGATATTGAATAAAAATAAAACAAATCTCAAACTAATTAAATGTCAAGAAGCCAAAGCTATTTGGAAATGTTGATTAAACTTTGGAAAGTAACGATAAAAGTCACGATCTTGAAAAAAATTAAAACAAATCTCTAACTAACTAAGTGTCAAGAAGCAAAAACTTATGAAGGATAATATAATAATATGAAAAAGATCGTATATAAAAAATGATAGGGAAAACTTATTTGAATTGCGAAAACATAGTGAAAACATTTTTACAAAAGAGTTATGGAAGCGATGCCAACTTGATTCACTAATCAAAGATAAGATCACGCATTCGAAAATGATCTATTATTTACAACATAAATCTTTAAACACTGAAACATGAGATTCTTCGAAAAGTTTTTTTTCTATGTCGATCTTTCTATTTTCCTCTCTTCTTCTCTATGTGACTTATCATATAGTCCCACATGAATGTGACTTGTCTCATTCTCGATTTGATTCATCATATTCATCCTTTTTGTTTCTTATCATGGTTGAACACCATGTTTCATTGAGAGAAGAAAAGACCACAACATATTCATGTCTCAAGAACAAATTTTCCATGTTTTTCTCATATGACTGGTTACCATTTTTCATGAGGAAAATAGAAGAGCTTGAGGTTTTTGTCCATTTTAATTCAAAGACAATAACCACTCAAGGTAATTGTTTTGTTTTAAATAAAAAAACCCCTTCATAACTACCATTGGTAGTTATTTATTTAATAGGATTTGGCTCACCTATTATTGGCAGCAATTTTTTGCAACTTATTTGGAAATGATGATTAAATTTTGTAAAGTACCAATACAAGTTACGATTTCGAAAAAAAACTCAAACTAGTTAAGTTTCATTTTTAAAACATCAAGATACAAATTTATTTCGATTCAAACCGCATGATATATTTATAAAATAAAAATTATTATCTTAAAAAAAAAAATTTTAAACTAATTAAATGTCAAGAAGATAAAGTTTATTTGGAAATGGTGATTAAATTTTGGAAAGTAACGATAAAAGTTATGTTACTTTCCAAAATTTAATCACCATTTCCAAATAAGATTCATTTTAAAATTCATTTTAATTATCATTACCAAATAAGATTTATTTTGTAAACTAATTAAATATCAAGAAGTCAAAACTTAATTGAAAATGATGATTAAATTTTAGAAAATAATGATAAAAGTTACGATCTTAAAATAATTTCTCAAACTAGTTAATCTTTATTTTAAAACATTAAAGCATAAATTTATCTCAACTCAAATCATATGATATATTTATATAATAAAAATTATAATTTTGAAAAAAAATAAAACAAATCTCAAATTAACTAAATGTCAAGAAGTCAAAGCTTATTTGTAATTAAAATTTGAAAAACAACAGTAAAAATTATGGTCTATAAAAGTTACGACCTTAAAAAAAAAAAAAATGAATCTCAAACTAATTAAGTATAAAAAAATTAAAGCTTATTTAAAAATGATCATTAAATTTTAAAAAATAACGATAAAAGTTATGATCTTAAAATAATAATAATAATAAATCAATTAAATGTCATTTTTAAAAGATATATTTATGGAATTTACTTTTTTTTTTAAATAAAAGAAACCATATAATTTTACTACTAAGCAAAGAATCCTCTCTTACTAACGTGTACTGGGAAGAAATCCATACTCAAATTCAAAGGCTCAAAATCCCGAAGGCCGAAGCCAAAGCTGAAAGCAGAAAAATGCAGAGGCTTCTTTCACTGAAACAAACCTCATCGACCTTAACCAAAGCACTGACGAAGACTTCTTCTTCGTCTTCCGGCTTCAACCCTCCCCCTTACAATACCTTCTCTCCCATCGCCAATCCAATTCCAACCCCCCAAAACCATTTTCTTAGCTCCCCATTTTCACACCCATTTCACCACCTTTCTTTTCCATGGCGATCAAAGCCCAGTCTTAAAGTGAAAACTCAGGGCTTTCTCTCATACCCAGTTGTTGCAAAGCGGTTTTCGTTGAATTCCTCAAATACCCATCTCAAAGTTTCAGGCAAAAGCCTTTTGGATTCCAAAGCTTGGTTTCTAAGACCTTGGATTCCCAAAGGAAGATTTGACGTTGGTCCCAGTTTTGGTCTTTCGAGGAGTCGCTGGTAATTTTCTTTTCCTTTTGCAATTTATTTTATCATTTCTTTATTCTATTTTCAAATTCTACCCCATTTAATTATATCGAGATAGACACTTACTTAGTATCATTGAATTCATAAGCAACAAAGGGTTCTCGTAGTGATGATGTCTTATATCCGAAGCATAGCTATGTTGAACCCAACTGCTTGTTATGGCTTGACTGTGTTTATATGTTTTTATTTGTCAATAGTTTTTCTTATCTTTGTTTTGCAGGAGATCATGGTTCCAACAGTTTACAGAAAGTCAAATGGTTTTGTGCTTGATTTTAACTAATGTTGCTGTTTTTCTCTTATGGCGGATTGCGGATCAAGAATTTATGATGAATAACTTTATGGTGAGTCCTTAGCTTTTGACCTGCTTGTTAAAATAAAATGTCCATGGTAGATTTTGCTCTCCAGCTTCTTGTTTCTTGGTACATGTACTCCCAAGTTGAAAATCGATGTTCTAGGGACAAAAATTGAGGAGACCTTAATAGTAGTTTTATTGCTATATGGTGCTTCGTGCTTGTAATATTCTAGTCATATTTTAAAACGAGTACTTCCATGTGGAATGTATCCTTTTTATGAATATAGTATTTAAGCACATTCAGTGGTAGATAGTCCTAGGAATGTATGGAGAACTAATACATGCTGATAGCAGGGTTTCAAATAGCGCTGGCATTGCGGCTGCTATTTAGCAGTAGGGGCACCCTTCGCTACTGCTATTCACCCGCAATGTGGAATGGCAATCACATTCACAACGGAGCTTTACGGCCGCAAATAGCCGCATAACGGCCAATAGCGGTTGTAACGGAGCATTAAAACTGCTATTTATATTTTCCAAATCAAATCACACAATAAACAAAATCAAACTAGAAAACCCACCCGAACTTCAAACAATTAAGTCAAAATCCAACAAATTTAAATCTCAATCAAACTAAAAAATGAAATTAATTCATGGTAAAAAAAAAATATTTGAGTTGCAGATGGGTTGAAGGAAGAGCTCTCATATAGCCTCCATTCTATTGACTTCTCAAATTTTTACTCTTGAGAAGGATACATAAATGAGAATGCTCTACTATTGTGAGAAGAGAAGAAAATGGGTTTGGAATTTATTGAGAATTTGGTTTATAAAAGTGAAGGCTGATACTAATGTCACGTGGTTTTAAAGATTAAAATTGATTTTTTTTTGGGTTTAGGTGAAATGATAGGAGGGAAAAGTAAATATGGATAGGAAATGGATATTTGGGAAATTTTTAATGATTTAAATGAAATTTTAAGAGGGATGTTAATTATTAATTAGTTAATTTAATTTTTTATAATTTAATACGTGCATAATCATTTAATTTAAAAGAATTAATTTTATTATATAATTTTGATATTATTAATAGTATTGTTAATTGAACTTTTTTTTTTTAAGTTTGATTAAGGTTTTGTTGCTAACTATTACATTATTTTTGTTAATTAATTATTTAAAATGTTGCACTTGTGTATTTGATTTAATGGTAAATACAAGTACCTATGTTCAAGGAATTATATTTTAATCCCTCACCCCAATAATCATATCGTATAAAAGAAAATTTTAATGTTCATCATCATTCTTCCTAATAAGATTAAATATGTATTTATAATATTCATGTCCATAAAACTCATGAATATATTAATGAACATGTTAGATATACATATTAATTTATGAGTTGTAACTAAAAATTTTATTTTAACATATAAATGAAAGAATTAAAATATCATAAATTACTTTAAATATCATAAATAAATGTTATTATGATAACAGTAATTATTATGTAGTTCATTTTATGATAAGTTGTGTAAAATAGAAAAAAATTAATAACTGCGATGAGTGTAATTACTGCTATTTTATCCGTTACATCCGTAACCGTAATAAATGCGATGCAATAAAAAACATGACCACGACTACAATTTAAATCCCTTGCTAATAGGACCTCCCATATGTATCAGGATTATGGATTTTCAGATGTTTATCTTTCACTTGCTTTTTTTTTTTTTCAATTTTCTCCTCCTAACTTATTTGATGTTCTGTGAGCAGGTTTCATTGGACAATTTTAAAAGTGGACGCTTACATACACTGATCACTTCAGCTTTCAGTCATATTGATATCAAGCACATTGTCACTAACATGATTGGACTTTATTTCTTTGGACATAGTGTATGATTATTGAAATCCTTTATTTGGATACAACTTCTTTTCTTACCAGTATTTGGGTCTTTCAAGGTGCAAACTCCTTCTGTTGGACTGTTTGTTTATGATCTGTATTTTGTGTAGCTAGTTATGTCTTAAGAGAGCTTGAATTTGAATCTATGTGTGACAAACAACTACCATTTGGTTTTTTGACTTCTTGTATGCGGATAATGGAGAGTGAGCTTATTCATTCTAGAAATTAAAAGTTGACTGGAGATTTATATCATTTAATAAACATGTTCTGTGGTTGCTCAACACTCTTTATTTTGCTCTACACTTGATCACATTAGATTGTCTCTCACTTCTTTTACATCTAGTGTTGACTAATGAACTGTATTACTCCTTTCTTTTGTGTCGAGGTTGTGTCTGAAATTCCTTCTGCTTTTAAGTAGTAACAGAATCCTTATGTTAAAGAGAATACTATTTCAGAGTACCTAATAAGGATCAGCTACCTAACCTAATATCCTATCATTCTTGGATTTAGATTGAGATGCCCAAAATGGAAAGTAAGATAGTAAAATCATGGTTTTATGGTCAACTTTGCATTTTGACATCTTTAACTAGTTTTTTCCCTGATTTTCAAATGCTAATGTAGTGTAATATTTCAATATATTTCCTACCTTCAACTTTGTGAGACAAGCATAATGGTATTCCGATGTTACCCCGGCCACTTGCAGGATTTAACTGTTACAACCAATGCTTACTACATTTCTTTTTAGGCTTGTATGCTTTATCTCCATTGTTTCTCTTCCTTGCCCTTTTCTTCTTTCTTTTTCCTTGTTACTCACCAGGAGCATTTAATGTTTAAATTTTTTTTCCTTTTTTACTTTGCATTGTGCAGATTGAAAGTATCTTTGGACCTCAATATTTGCTGAAGTTGTATCTATCTGGGGCAATTGTCGGTTCTCTGTTTTACTTGGTTCACCATGCATATTTGGCATTGTCATACAAGGTACCATGATGCTGCAAGAAATATCAGAACGGCTATCATTACACTGTTAGTTAGTTATAGGCCTGGATTGTTGTCTAATGGCAACAATAAACCCCAAACCAAACTGATTTGGGATACATCACATAACACTCTCCCTCATGTTTAGGCTCAATAAGAACAACTTGTGCAAACAAGTTACTATGTGGACAACAAACAATGAATAAGAAATAACAAATGGGAAAGCAAAAACTGTAAGTTCTCAGCTTTGATATCATGTTAAGCATCCCGCTTAAAATCAATTAGCTATAGGTGGACAGATTGGCTTTTGAATAGGACCATTAGAAACCCAAACTTAAGCCCTTTGAAGAACACCACTTAATAGATTCTAATGTTATTGTTGTATAGGTCTGACATGGGAAGTCCATTCTACATGTTAAAAAATAGAATCTTCTAATTTATTTATTGGTGTACTCTTATGTTGATATTTACGTAAAGATTCACCGTATGATGATGGTGGAAAATTCCTTCATTTTCTTATGAACCATATATCGTTCAGTTTTTTCTCACTCTTGGCCCTCCACCTCAGGAACAAGCAATGTGGATGGACCCAAATACTCCAGGATTGGTATGCTCCCTAGCCTTCAGTGCATGAAGCTCCTGTGATAACCTTTTTTTTTTTTTGTCCTTTCTAGTGATGACTGTGACCAAATAGTAACAGTGTCATTATTTATTTTCTCTATCCAATGAACTACATGATATTAAGGAATTTTTTCTCTGATATTGTCTATTGTTAAGCTGTTTAAAATGGCATTCAAATTGGGGTTTGATAGTTTAAGGTCTCATTCCCTTCTCCTTTGTTTTTCTGACTAGTTAGTCTTTTGTTTTCTGAGATACGACTGAAGGTTTTATTCTTTCTATGCAAACCCCCACCCCTCCTATTATTTTCAATCACAAGATTTTATTTTTCTTCCCTTAATACAAGTTTACCCTTTATGTGTTACATGTTTTCCTATAATTATATCCATTGTTTGCATGGATGCCTAGGATGATGTCTTAAAGAAATCCTACGTGTTTGTTCCAAATGGAGAGGGCAAGCAATGAGAAACTTATTTTAGTTCATCAATTCCCTAATTATTGCTGTGGTTTTCATCTATTAGGCAGCCAATGCATGAATTTATACTTAAAATCTGTTTAACTTGTGGTCTTCTGTGTCATTTAGGGGGCAAGTGGGGCTGTTAATGCTATCCTTCTGCTTGACATATTTCTGAATCCAAAATCTACTCTTTATCTCGATTTCATCATACCAGTTCCTGCCATGTTACTGGTAAGCTAGCTTCTAGTTTATGCTAACAATGAAATGACTTTTTTAGGTTTACAAATCCTTGCTGAATTGTCTATAAATAATTTTCTTTACAGGGCATCTTTCTAATTGGGATAGACATATGGAGGACAATAGAGGTATATTGCTCATTTTCCAGCAGCTGTTTTCATTTTCATTTGCATTCCATTCAAACATAATCTTAAATTGATCAATTCTGGGGCATGTGGTTCTGGTGGAAAAATTGTACATATGTGCAAGTTCTTTGGCATCAATAAAAGATCAGTTTACTACGCACAGAATACATTTTGAAGGGGAAAGAGGGAAGGCAATATGGAAGAAAGAGAAAGGATTAGATCTCAATAAAGATCACTTTGCTACGCGAAGAAGACATTCCAAAGGGGAAATATGGAAGGTGATAAGGAAGAAAGAGAAAGGATTAGATCTGAATAAAGATCACTTTACTACACAGAAGACATTCTGAAGGGGAAAGAGGGAAGGTTATAAGGAAGAAAGTGAAAGGATTAGATCATCTGCCGCACTTATTTAGATGATATCCATGGTCACTGAACATAACTTTACTAATTTTTGAACAGTTTATGATATATAATGAGCTATTTGATAAATTTGAGGGGGTACCAGGTTTTGTGTTTGTTAGCCTATCAGTAGCTTCAGCAGGATTGCTCTTGCAAGATGTTCCACCTTCATCTTGTGGCAGATTATTTTGTGGACACAATAGCACCAGTTTCCCTAACTTGCAACTAGGCTAACAGGTTTTTAGTATTTCTCAAGATGCTGTTCAAGAACTGCTGCTTAATACGCCTGGAACCATTAGAGTTGAGTTTTTTTTTGGTTGGTGTTGACCCTCTCTATGACTTCATTTGGGTACTAAGTGTGAATTTTAGAACCTTTGTAAATTTAGTTTTTTGTCATAGAGCAGTTCTCCTTTATCTTGAGCTACCTCACCGTCATCTTGGACATGATATGTGATAGAGTGTGACCACAACTGGTGCCATTAACTATGAATTTTATAGCTCCCAATCTCTCTAAATTAAGGTTTCATATCATCTAACCAACAAATATTTGATTTTTGCATTGTAGGGGAATGGTCATGTTTCAGGATCAGCTCACTTGGGTGGTGCTGCAGTAGCAGCTATAGCATGGGCTCGACATAGAAGGGGACGCTTCTGAAATGAATGGTGCACATGCTACTAACAGTTGCTGGTCATGGTAACTAATTGTGATTAGCGTTTCAGTATGATTGTCTCAATTTTTTTTTTACTTGCTCAAGCATGTGTTGTTGACCACATGTTTCATTCTAGTTGCTACACTTTCTGTGTTATAAAGGCATACTGGCTGTTTCTTTCAAACCCAGGTGCACAAGGTTCCCCGCATTGCGAGGGTTGGGGGAGGGTCCATAGTATGCAGCCTTCCCTCTGCATTTTTTTTTGCAGAGAGGCTGTTTCTTTTAATGCATAATAATTCTATTGAATTTACTTTGCCCTCTTTCTCCATCTATTTTCTGGCATAGCTATGGTAAAGTTAAAGAGAGATTTTTACTTGCAGCGAGAAGACGTTGCTGGGTCCATAAAGTTATCATGTGAAATGATATTTATTGTGTTTATTTTTTCCTTTTATTCTATTGAACTCTATGATTTTGCCTAGTATATGATCAGGTACCTACTGCCCCTTTACTTGAAAACTTGTCTGCTCAATCTAGCGGTAAATGTTAATCATGAAATCGCCCATTTTCATAGCTTTAGGGGGAATGCTGGGGGTAGTCGTATCCACAATTGCTCTTAAACACTCCCTTGTTTAGGTAACCACACCATGCCTTTTTTCAACCTTAAAGCCAGCAACCGGCCGCCTTTACAAATGTAATTGCCCATCATTCCTAGTGTTCTGGCAAAAAAAAAAGTCTAAAACGTTTTCCCTATCTTGTTCCTCATGGTGCTCTGCCTTCCATTTCTCCATTATTATGTTGTACATTAATCATCTCCATTTTCTATCTTTCAATGGTGAAACTAATCAGACCAAAGAGACCCACCATCACTGAAGCTGGTTTGGTTCTAGCTTAATAACATCTAAACAGAATCACTTAGTTCTCATTTGTTAAAGTTCCTTTCTTGTCTTTACTGCTGAGCCTTGCCACCCTCAACTTGTTTACATATCTTTGCTTTGTGCGAATCTCTTCAAAACTATCAACCTGAAGACAGTCGTGCCATGCCAGTAATAATCCCTTCTATTATATAATTTAGGATATGTAATGATTGTAATTGATTTTGGTTTTGGGTTACCCTTATACTGATATGCTTTGAGGGACTGGAAGGACAATTTACCATCTTTTCATCGTCATCGTCGTAAGCTCTACAACAAAACAAGAATACATACTTTTTTTTTTTTTTTTTAATTTTGCTATAACTTTGGTGGCTTGGTGTTAGGTTTAGGCCTTCAAGAGATGGGATTTGTCTCTTTATCTTTTATCAATCTCATTTTTTTATTAATATTAATAGTTTTAACAAATTCATCGGGATTTAGAATTGATTTTTTTTTATCTTAAAATTTAAACTTTATAATCACAAGGATTTTTTTTTTTTGGAAGGGTCCCTTATGGACTTAAAACTATATATATATATATATATATATATATATTATATACACAACTATAAAAATTTTAAAAGTCTATGCTATAAAAATTTTTGACTAAAAAAAAATCAAATACAAAATTATTATAAAAATTTAAAAATTAACGATATACTTTTATTTTTACTTAAAATATAAACCTTCATTTTTGTTATTATTGCTCTACTATACAAATTGGAGTCAATAATTTTGAAAGGGTTCACATTTCATTCCGGGAAAGAATAAGCAAATATCATAACCAAGTTATGATATGGCACTTCGACTTCAACTGCGTGGGGTGGTTGATGATCAATGATCAACGGCTAGATGTAGTTTACCTTCATTACGGATGGAGACCAGCGTTTCATCATTGGATCTTGTGTTTTTTGTCTTTCCTGATTCTTTTGCATCTCATTGGCATATTGCACGCTTAGTTAACCTGATGGGAATTCGGCAAACATCATGCTCCAGGACCAAGAAGCATCTTGTTGGGCATTTAACCTCATGATCTAAATGAATTGAATATAAACATATTTTTATATATTTTTAATATATTCATTTAATTAATTAATCTTAAAACATTATACATAATCATTTGTTAAATTTAAACAATCGAACAAAATTCAACTATATTCACAAATTATTTATAAAATATTCTCTTTGTTTATATTTTAACATTATAAATGACCCAAATATGAACAAATTTTGTTATATTTATAATTTATTTATTTAATTATTAAATATCAAAATATTATTCATAATCGTTGTTAATTTTAATAAATAAAAGCAAACCTGTTCAAAAACTATTTGTGAAGTTCATTTGCACCCTATACCTTTGCTTTGCACCAAAAAACAGACAAATTATGCCTAATAACACACCCAGGGGAACCTAGGAGAGTAGTGAGCAAAATTTGCAATTATGATAATTTTACTAAAGCCAAATCAAAACAGTTATATCTGATGTATTCTAAACACATATAATAATAATTATTATTATTATAATAATTATAATAATAATAATGAGACCAAAACAGAACTAAAGACATACAACAATGTTGAAAACTTGATGGATATAACGACCATATTAATCAATCTGAGACCTATAGCTCTTCCTTGTTTAACCATCAATCTTCTTATAAAAAAAAACCGGCTCAACGTAGATACCCTCAGAGGGACTGGACCAATTTGCTGCTTCAGTTCAGCATATCCATGTATTAATGCAAGAAACAGCCGCAGCTACTACCGCCACTTCTTTTCCGATAATGATATGAGCTGCAAAAGAGAAAACGACAGGCAAATTGGTATTATGATAAAAACAACAGATTGTAGCTACCATGAATAGATATCAAACAATTAAACACTGGTAGAATGAAGCTTGAGAAGAACTATGGAGATATTTTTGGCAACTCCAAAGAAAGTTGAAATAAAAACTGAGACTAATCTAGGAGAAGAATGAAGAACTTAAAATCTCATGTTTGGCCTAATCTACAATATTGACTAGTAAGACTTCCAGATAATAAGAGATCAACTTCTATGACCAAGGCATGTTTACTAAATACAAGATTGTCTAAATGCAAACAGGTCTTCAATGTTAAGGAAGATGCAGGAAGACTGAATCTTTGTTTGCATCGACATAGGGAAATATCCAAAGATGCTCAAAGGAAAGCCCCAAATTGAACTACCTGTTATGTCAATCTCTAAACAATAACCAATTACTGATACTGTTAAATGTAAGCAATCAAGTACACGAAAAAGAAAAAAAACAATAACAAACTCTTTGTTTTGCTCACCTGGGTTTAATAAATCTCGTTCAAAGAGTCCAGTTTTAAATCAAAGGGGAAACCACCAGCATAACAAGATTACATGTTAATGCTTTTATTGTTACAACTGATTGCATGTTAATTTTTATAAGGACTTAAATCCTACCAGCTTAATACTAAACTGAACCATTGGCCAAAAAAAAAAAAAAATACTAAACTGAGTCTGAAATTTTCATTCAATCCATGAAAGGGCTGTCCACTGTTGTTACTTGAAAGTGGCTTCATTTGAGAGAGAAAAGAGATGGTCGTTAATTTTCTCTTGCCCCTTAGGTTTATGAGGATGAGGTATAAGACAAAATTATAACAGAATGGAAGTGATCAGGCAAAACCTATTTGGTTCCCAATGGATTTTGAAGGGAAGTAGAAAAGTGCCAATATAGATGGGCAAGTGGTAGTCTCCTCTGACATGAGAAAGTTAAGTAGGAAACCAAATACAAGGATTCAATGAATATGAAAGAACAGGATGCATTTAGTGATAGATAAATGAAAATTGAGATAACCTCTAATTTCATAAGAAAAACTAAGAGGATGTCAGAGCAAATCAAAACCAAAAGCCAGTTTATAAGCTTTATCAGGAATCGAAGACTCCTCTATCAGTATGACAAGGATGCACTAGCTATTGCAGAAAACATGCATGTATTATGCCACCTACAGCTCATTGGATATAAGCTGACAAATCAGGGCTTGCAGGCCACTCTTGATGGTGCCCTTACTGAATCCCTTGACCTGCACAAGCGTTTCCATGTAAATCCAAAAGGGGATATGGGGAAAAGATATGCTGAACAGATTAAAAATTTGAGACATCCCAATGATTCAACTCATCACTATGAATTCAGTGCAAAAATTAAGGGTTCTGGATATTCCAATTATGCTCTTTCTTCTGACTTCATTTATGATGGTTATAGTGGTTTTGGTTCCAATTATGATGTTTGTCCTATATAGCCAGTAATTAAGGGTTCTGGATTCAAGAAACTTGTCCTGAAACTCAGACAAACAAAATTCACCTAGAAATAGATAAGCATAAGAAATTAGCTCCAACAAAATAGCTTGTCACCAAAAGACTGCTAGAGTAGAGCGCTCTGCTTCAACCACACTTTGTAATTTCAACAGAAGAGTTGAGTTTCAGAAAATATCATGGCTTAGCTTCAATCCTGCCCAAAAAAAAAAAAAAAACCCCTTCCTTCTAGACCATCCAAAACTCCTTCAAATTTTTCTCAAGATCCTTCATTTCATCAGTCATTACTGGCTATGTATGACAAAAATGATAATTGGAATAATAACCACCATAACCATCATAACAGAAGTCAGAAGAAACAGCATAATTAGAATATCCAGAACAATTAATTGACGAACTAAATTCTTAGTCATGAGTTGTATCATTCGGGTGTCTCAAATTTTTAATCTGTTCAGCATATCCTTTCCCCATATCCCCTTCTAGATTTACATGGAAACACTTGCGCAGGTCAAGGGATTCAAGGTAAGGGCACTCATCAAGAATGGCCTGCAAGACTTGATTTGTCAGCTTATTTCCAACAAGCTGCCGGTGGTGTAATCCATGCATGTTTTTTGCAATAGCTAGTGCGTCCTCATCATGCTGAGAGAGGAGTCTCAGAGGATCTCAATGAAAGGAACAAGCTGCAACTCTCTTCAAAAAACACAAACACTAAATCTATGCTGTCAAACTTTTGCCTGCAGAAAGCCAAACAACAATTAAATTGAGGTTATGGAGTTGAGAAGAATGAAATCAACAATATATCTATAGGACAAAACATTGGACGCGTATGCTGCAGTAGAATGATTTACATAGCCATCAACTTTATGAGATTAAGATGGACTTCAAGATCAACAAGAAAATTATCCAAGGCAACAAAGTTAAGTATATTCAATGAAAATGAGGATAACAATCACAGTTAAGATATTAAGAGCAAGGAATTGTTGGCAGGGTATTTCTTGCATAGTATATCTAAGATTTCAGATAACATGTGTTAGTAAACATGTCATTTTTGTGAAGTTAAAAATGGCAAGAATAAAAGTTTGACAATTCCCAATAAGTTACCTGAAAACATACAATCACTTGAGATAAAATTTATGCCCCAAATTTGCTGATGATTCCCCTATCAAGTCAGGTAATCAAAATCTATGTTTCTCAAGACCTAATCATTGTCTGATATGACATCTTAATTTAGAGATATACACAAGCACACAGACACATGCCCTAGCCGATGCCTACACCAAACCATGCACAAATATAATGCATGTAAAGAAGCACTTCTGAAAATTGATAACCAACCTGACGAGCCACCTGTGCTAGTCGCCGAGTGTCTCGAGATGATTCAGTTGTCAATGTGGACTTTTCCGAGTCTAGAGAACCATTTTGTTTTACCTCTGCCTTCATCTTAGAAGTGTCTTCATCAAGTGAGCAATCTCTGTCAGGGCTGCTCAAAGAATCCTTCTTCCGCTTTCTTTTGAATGTGTACATGAGAAACTTATTATTTACTGGTTGAGTAGAAGACCCTTCAGTTATTTCAGACACTTTAACATCCGAGTTTGCTGCAGACACATCAACCATCTCAATATCCATTTTGAAAGATGCAGCCCCTAAATTCTCAGTGGATCCACTGTCCTGGCTTGTCAACCCTTTTTTGTCTGTCAGCGATTTATCATCATTTTTGTCATTCTGGAGATCGAAAGCTTTCCTAAACTCAACATCATCCTTGTCAACTTCAGATCTTGATTCAGCAACAACTTTAGCTGCATCTGAAGATGAACTAAGGATAGAAGGAGAATAAGGACCCATCTGATCATCATGATTGATTATCCTAGAATCTTTCCCAAATTGAGCATTCTCATCAGCAGCATGTGAGAAACTTTCGGGGCACAGTAGACCGGATTCTTGACACGTTGCTACAACCTGATCAGGTATATCCATAGATGAGGGAGCTTTATTTTTCTTATATCTAGCAGCTCTTTTTCTTTTCCTGCGAAAAGAGCAAACAGGAAGAACTTGGATAATGCTGTGAACATCACTTTGCATCACTTTGAACTCATCTGTTTTTTCCTCAGGTCCGCACATGTCAGCTCTTGAAGAAAGTTTTGTGTGCATATCCTTCCCCTCTTCACCTTCTCTAGTATTTTCATTCTTTGCATCATCTTGCCCAGAAAGAGATAAATTTCCATTCAACAGACACCTTTCAACTGCACGAATCCTCTGAGTGCACCCATTTCGATACAGGTCAGGCTCTTTTCGTCTCATCACTATGGAGGCAAAATCAGGGTTACAAACGTAGCAATTATCCTTACAAGAACACTTATTACCCACATTTGTTCCGCTCAGAAATGAACTCTTGATGTCAGAAACTGTCAAAAAAGCAGTTTGTGCATCAAGTAGAGAAGATCTGACAGACCCAAAATTGTTGATTGTATTTTGCTGTGATATCTCCAAAGCAGCAGCAACATCATGTTTTGATTTTTGTCCTCCCATACACTGCATTGGATCTTTTATCAGCTTCTCCAACTCATCTTGCACTTCTCTCAGCTCTGCTCTAAGATCTCTAACTATATCCTCAGCTTCCCCCAATTGTGCTTCAAGCTCTTCAATTCTTTTCTGTTGATTCAAGGACATCATCTCTGCTTCATTAACCTACATTCATAGCACAGACAGCAAATACTGTACTTGTTCAGCATTGAATTGATTGCACTGAGTACTCATTTTTCCAGACATAACTGTGTTACATATTAGAAACAACAAATATTGAGAGAAAACCCACATTACGAAACATAAGACAGTAAACAAAACCAAATTATAACATCTGCGCTGAAACATTATCAGAAACAACAAGTAACAAAAATAACAGAAACAAAGGCAATCCTAAAAGCCAACAGTTACCTTAGCATCCAACATCTGTTTCAACTTAAGCAACATACGCAACGCCTCATCTTTGGCCGCGAACAGCTCCTGCTGATACCGGAGAGCCTTCCTTTCCGACGCCATTACCCTCGCCGCCGCCTCTTTAGCCGTGTTCAGAATTATTTCGGCATAAGCCTTCTTCAAAGCCGTCAATTTCTGTTTAAAAAAAAAAAACAAAATCCAGAAAACATTAAAGAAAACCCATATTAAAAATAATCATGTTGAACTAATAAAAGGATCAAAATCAACTCTTTTTAGCAAAAACCCATAAACTAAAAAAGAAAAATATTCAAAATTCACACACAAAAAAATAAAGAAAAGAAGAAAAACTAGATTATGGAGAAGGGTAGTAGAGAAATTTTACATCGGAATCGGCCATTGTAGCCACTAATGCATCAAACTGTTGCTGTTTCTTTCAGACCAAGTAGTGAAGAAGAAAAACAACAGAATAAAAAAGGAAGGTTGTTTTGTTCTTTTGTTTCCCTTCCCCTTGTTGCAGCTGTCTGTTAGGAACTGAAAGTCTTTGCTGTTATTACCAAACTACCCTCTTCTGCCCTTTTATTTACCAACACGCCACTTCAGCTGACAAAACCGTTAGACGGTGCGGTTTAGTCTAATTGTTTTTCTTTTCTTCTTCATTTGTTTCTCATGGTAATGGGCAATGGGCGCGCGACAACGAGGAAGGGCCCACAAGTTGAAATTTTTATATGACATGGAGGAATGAAGGAGGAACAGGTGGCTCCATGCATGCAGTTGTTTTGTGTTGGGGGAAGTTGACAGTTTTGGGGGTGGGTGATCACGGGTCTATCGTGAGGTGGCGTGTAGATAAGTGAGGCTCCCGCGGCGTGTGGTGTGCGAAAGTGAAAGCAGTTGGCGACTTTCGAGTTGCTTTTAACGTCAAGGTTGTCAATGTCCGTACCGTTTCTGGCGTCAAAGTTCTAATTGGAACGGAAGGGAGATTATCGGAAGTTTGTTCTATTTTTTGTTGTTGGATCATTCAATCCTGCCAACTTCCAGTCTTATAGAAGTCTATATTTCAAATTTTAGATTCCTCCTCTAAATTTTAGTGTTTACAATGACAGATTTAGAAATTTTTTTTAGATATGTTTATTTTTAATATATATAAAAATTAACTAATCAATAAAAATATGTCCGTGAAAAATTTTTAAGGCATTCATTAAATTTTTTTTCTAATTTGTTTATATTTTAAATTTTAACGAATATCTTTGGACGCCCTAGAGGAAAAAGTGGATTTGCCCTTGAGTAAGTACTGAAGTAGGTTGTTATGATTAGTCACTCATAATAAAAAAATTATATAAAGATTCATCATTTAAAAGTATAAGATTTTAAATAATTTTTTTTTATAAATTTCACTCAATACTAAATTATAATTAATTAATTACATTATAATAATGATAAATGATATGCTCTTGCTTGTTACTAACTTGTTTCAATTCTGCTTATAATAACAAAACCTTTTATCAACAAATATAAAATTAAATAAATTGCTTCTTGTGTTGAATTTAGTTCATGTGTTTTGCTCACCAAAATTACATAAAACTAGAAAAATACTTATACATATATCATGTATTATGTATTTGGATATTGAATCCCATGGTATAAATAATATATATGTCTATGTTAAAAATTTTAATTCAAATTTTTTTAAAAAATTAATATGCATATAATGAGTATATAAGATCATATAATCAAGATAAGAAGTATAAAAGTTGAACGTGTATTTTTAATTTTGTTTTTTTAATACTTGATAGTTTAAGATAGATGATTATAAATTATATATTTAAAATTATTTTAATAAATAATCACCGATAAAATTTAAATTTAAAATTTTTACATAAAAAAAAATTTTAATTAATTAAATTAACCACACAATGATGTGTATTTTATTATTTGTTTATTATTAATGCAAGGATCGTTGGACTGTGTCCATTACGAAATATTCTCCATTTTAAAATTTGGAGGTCTGCCCTTTTTATCTTTTGAGAAATGACACATTAATAAAAGAAGGATGGTCTTTAATTATAAAATCACAGTCTAATCTTTGATTATTAGATGTGAGATTGTTCCCCCTCAACGCTAGATACTTCCCGTGTCAAGGAGTCTTTTTGTAAAGGACAAAATTGTAAAGGCAAGACTTCGATCTCCAAAGCAGACAAAGCTCAGAGCGAGCGCAATCCAACAATCCTTTGGATTAACAGTGTTGACCCTTTGCGTCAATAATGAAACTTGTTGGAGAATTGTTGATCCTTGGAACACTGTATCATCCCTCAGCTAACACACAGTCCACACATTTGACTATGGAAGTTAGCGTTGAAGGGAAAATTGTTGTATGCGAGGGTAGCAAATTATGCAACTTGTTGGAGAAAAAGAATAAAACGAAAAGAAAGAAAAATTTTGGGTACGGCACTTCCAAGAAGTTTTGTCAAGGATAAAATTTTCCTACTATAGTGCAAATGGTCTCTAAGAAATGTTGTCACCAAAATACCCAAACAAAGAAGAAAATAATTGCACTTAAATTCTTCTTTAAACACATTTGAACCGAAATCAAAACCCAAACCAAAATGAAAACGAGAGCGAAAGAGAATAAATTTGATATTTACTTTCAAATAATGTAAAGTTATGTGAAAAATAAGTATTTAAGAAGTATTTATAAGCCCAAGGTGGCTTAAACACCTTTTCACGAATAATCATCATTTGAGTGAAAAACACATCATTTGGAATGAAAAACATGTCTAACAGATTAATTTTTGACTTTCCAGAAAGGAAATTCGAATTCTCTGACAACGACGTTCAAATGAATTAGCTATTTTTTTTCAAACAAAATGTAAGCATTCAAATGCTGATTCTTTAAACAATTCAATAAGGTAATTGCAAGGGCATTCAATTGCCTATTTAACTACTCGTAGCATACTTCATTCCAAGTTTATTTTTATGCTTCCAAATTTCATTTTTCAACACAAATGTATATTACATAATTTTAAACAATGTTTACATATTAAAATATTTTTAAAAATTATTTTTTGATAATATATATATAACAAAAATGATTTTACATCTAATAATTAAGAATTAGATTATAACTTTATAAGTAAGGGTCACCCTTCTTCTATCGAGGTATCTTTTTAAAAAAAATAAAATTATGAAAGTAAATTTTTAAATTTTTAAAACGAATAATATCTCATAACAATATACAATTTAATTTTATTTGTATCAACAATGTTGATCCGTTCCACCATTTATTTATAATTTTTTCTTTACATAAGCAAAATAAAATGGACAACTAATTTATGGACTGTGTCAATGTGTATCAACAATGCAGTTTAAAATATTTGTATCAACAATACAGTTTAAAATATTAAAGTTAACTTTTGAAAAATTAAAAAAAAATCTATAACAATAGATTAAAGTTATTTCTTGAAAAATTAAAATTTAATTTATGGACACCAATATTTGTTTTAAAATATGATGTGAAGGTTAAATTAGATATAAAAATATAATATTAAATATGTGCATGGATTTTTGGCATATGTGCATGACAAATGGCAACATCATTTTGGTTTTTTTTTTTTTTTTTTCTTCTAGGTGTTGTAGGCAATTATCTAGATTTTTTTAAAAAAAGATTATCTAGATATAATTGAGTCTATTACTAATATTAGTAGTCTTTAAGTGTCAAGCAATTAATCCTCTTATAAGACTACTATTCTATATTTTATAAAAAAAAATTTATTTAAAAAATGTTATGAAAAATTTACAATTTTTTGATAAAATATTTCTCAATAAATACTTTAATGAAAAAATGATAAAATATTATAAAATATTAATAGTCAATTAAACATATATATATATATACACACACACACACATATATATATATATATATGCATACATACATTTATTATATTCTATAATTAAAAGTAGTCTCCTAATTTAATTAGCCCCCTTAGACTTCTATTCTATTTTTTTATAAAAAATTTTATTAAAAAAGAATAAATTTATAAAAAAACCAAAAATTAATAAAAATATTTCACAATAAATATTTTTATGAAAATTACAAAAAATTATAAAATATTAATAATCAATTAAACATATAAATATATATACATACATACATATAAGTATACACATCTATTACTATATACTATAATTAAAAGTACTATTGTAATTTTTAATATACATTGACCTTAATTGAGCCCTCATTGCTTGATTTTTGTTAAGCAATTAGGCCTTCATAATTTTTTAATTTAGTTAAAGAGCAAAACAATATCGATTTGTAGATATGAAAGAGAGATTATCAAATACATTGATAGTAAAATTTGTAAACTCTACAAGTACATACATTTTAGGGTATTCTAAAAAAATAAAAAAAATTAATTAAACAAAAATGAGATATGTGTTAGTTTTTTAAATTTATACTTGAAATTAAAAAACTTTACTATCAATATATCAGATAATTTCTCACATAAAAATAGTCTTTCAAATAGTGTTTTCGGTTAAATAAAGATCAAATTGAATAAGACTCTCACATTTTTTATTTTTCATTTAAAAAAACCCAAAAAATTAAAAATCCAAATCTCTTAAAAAAAATATGGGGTTTTTAAAAAACCTCTTAAAACAAATCAATTTGACTATTGTTTATCATTATTATTATTACTTTTTAAAAGAAGGTAGATTTCATTAAACTGAGAAATTAGAATCTGTCGTAATGAAATTATGTAAAAATAAAGGAAAATTTTCTATCCAAAATTTATCACTTTTGAATTTCAATTTGATTATTGTTTACTAAATTAAATTGAATAATAAAATATATTTAATTTTAAAAAAAATATTAAAATAAAAATTTTGAAAATATTGTAATTGATAATTTTTTATATTTTATAAATAAATACAATTAAAGCCAAATAATTTTATATTAATTTAAAATAAAAAGCGAGCCCCAATGTTGCCAGACAAATTTTCTAGTGGTGAATAATAATCAAACCTATAATTGTTAAATTTTTTTAGATTGGATAAGATTCAGATTTTCCTTTTTTTTATTTTTTTTGTAAAATTACATGTAATTAAATTAAAATCAAATTAATTAATTGAATTGAAGGACACATATTCAATTAAAATAAAATTAATTGATCAAAAAAATTATTTAATTATTCAATATGATAAAAGAATTTTCGATTAGTTATATAAATATATTTTTCCTTATAAAGTAATACTACTATATTTTTTTCATAAGAAAAAAGACTTTTATTTAAATTTAGTCCACTGTTCAAAAATAGATCCGTTTGCCGCCAAATATTCCCGAAACATCGGGTCAACCCTTGTTTCAAAAATCCACAAACTAACAGGCAAAGACCAAAGAACAAGTCGAGCTATTAACCGCTCCGACAACCCGCCCGAACTAATCTCTTTCCCTGTCTTCCCCTGTAATCCAAAAAAACTCCACGTGTCCTTTTTCAAAGATACTTTCCATTCCCAACTTCTTCGTCTGTACTTCGCCGTCAAAATTTACAAAAGTAA